TTCCACTCTCCCAACATGCGGTTTGGGATCGCCCAGCAAAACAGGATGGATGCGAGCACCTCGCGCTGTGCCCCCGCCCCCTGTGTGGGGGGGGGGGGGGGGCGCCCTGGGCGCTGGTCACCTGCCCGGGCGACTTGAACCCGAGGCGCGGGCCTGCCGCGCTCCGCTTCTTGGGATTTGCCATAGAATGCGGTGCATCACCGTAATGCGCTGGATGATCTCCTTCGAAAGTGGGTGCTCGATATTGAAGTAACTGTCGGGTATGTTATTTGATTTCTCGGGCCCTGGCCCACCGACGTGCAATGTAAACTTCGCGTTTTCGCCCATGCAGTGTTTGAAGATGCCAGAATATCGCTTGTCTTCGGTTTCTCGTTGTAGACCGTGGTCCATCGCGCATTTCCTTTGCTATCTGGTTGACGTCCGTGGTTTGATGTCTGTCTTTGAGCTGTCGTGGTAAGTCTGCTTGTTCTGGTGTTTGTAGCCATGTCTCCATGTGCGGCACGCGCCACATCTTCCAGTTAATATCGTTGATCCCCGGGTCGTTGCTGAGGTCCTCCGCCCACGAAGATGCCCATACTTCCATGTCATGTATGATGTCGAACACTGGGTGGTTAGCTGGGTCTGGTCTCGATAGATCTGCCCGCTCCTTGTCAGTGGCTTCCTGCTTCTCAATTGCATGACGCCAGAGCACTTCACATCCTGGCTCTGTCATAGGTCTCTCTGCCGAGTTGCGTGGCTGAAGTGCGACACCCCAACCGGCGCGATTGATGCGCGTGTCATTACTGGTGCCCGAGCCGTCGATGTAAGCATACTTGCAGTAGTGAGGCCTTATCGCTGCCATCGCGTCAGGAACTACACGGGGTCTTCTGTGCTCGGTACTCCAGTATCCTCCATCCCACTTCCCCCAGGCAGGGGGTTCTGGAACATGATTCAGGAGTCCATGTAGCCAGAAGGCCTCGCTCTCAGGGTCCTGATCCATGTCATTCAACGCCTGCTTGCAGATGTTCTGTGTTTTGGGGCGTCCTCCACGTTGAAGTTGTTACTCGTCTCGCACTCGTCGGTCCTGTGCTTGAGCGCGTCGGGCTCTTTGCCGCACCTTGTGCAGATACCGTCTGTGGTATATCCCGCCGTTCTGCATCTGTCTCCTGTCCATATTGTCCCGCAAGCTACTGCTTCCAATGTCCCATCGGCTTGTACTTTGTACGTTGCATGGGTTCCCTGAGTGCCGTCGCGCCCGTTCCGCGCTGCATGCCATTGCCATAGTAGTGGTCTCTGGCCTTCTGCCAGAGCTGCTGGTCAATATCTTTGGCAAGGGTGCTCATGATGTCCTTGAAGTCCAGAGCCTGGCCGCCGGTGAATCTCCATACTTCGCCTCTGGGATATTGCCATTCATCTGGTTCACGTGGTTCCCAACGGATCTGCTGCAACGCGAGAATGAAGGCTCCCATAGGCCCTGATATTGAGTTCCACTTGCCTCTGGGCTTCATCTGCGTGAGCCTGCTGAGGTCCGCGCGCCACCCTTGGCGTAGACGATCGCGTGCAGCTGGTTCACCTTGCCAGGTGAGTATCCATTCCTTGACTTGTCGTTGGGGGCATACCATTCCAGGCTCTTTGTCCCCATGAAACAAGGCGTTGATCGTCGACGTGCGCCTGCCTCCCGCGCCGAAGCCTGCCATGTCCGCTGCCTGTGCACGTGCTGCTCGAAACGCGTGCGGGCTGGCCAATCATAGTTCTGTTTGGTTCGCAGGTTGGCGTTGCACAGCATGGCCGTTCTCTGCCTCCATCGTCCTTCGCTTCTCGTGAAAAGCCTTGCCCTTAAAGCTCGTTCGCGTGCTTGCTTGGTACGCTTTCGTCTGGTCGAGGTTGCCCTTATCCGTGCAAGTGCAGCATCGATGCCCAGGCCGTTGTCGAAACTTGGCGTCTGGATTCCAATGCACTAGCTCTTCATGTACTTTAGGATGTGCTTCTTGGTCGCGCTGCAGTTCGCGAGGGCCGCTGATTTGTGCGAGACCACCACGTTGGAGTCCAGGCAAGCCTGGGCCAACGTGGGGAGCTGCTCCGTGAAGTCGGCTGCAACTCCTTCGGCTCGCGCATGTAGGTCGTTCACGAACTCCCGTGTGATTTGCCGGCGGTGCTGACCTGTGAGCGATGCCCAGTATGCTGTCGATCATGGCTCGGGCTGCGTAGCTGGCAGCAGGGCATCCTGCCACGATGCCGTTCCATGGACTTATCGGCACTGCGTGATCGTGGCACGCCCGTACCACTCTTGGGAACAAATACATCAACATGCCCATGTGCACGTTGACCCTCGGGCAGTCCAATTGCATGGCCAATCTGATGAGTATGCTGAGGCCCATGCTGTCGTCAAATTTCTCCGAGTCCAGGTAGAGGGCGCCGTAGGAGGCGCACTTGAGCTTCGCACTGGTCTCGTCCAATACCATGGAGAGGAGTGCTGCTCTTCAGGCTGATGGGCCTTGGATGGCCGCGCCCCGCTAGCCCGCCTCTTCAGCGCACCAAACTTGCATTTCTGTTTTTGCCATCTTGCCCCATAGCCGCACTGGGAAGGGTAATCGGCCAATCGGTCGTTCTTCTCCTGCGGTGTTCGATCCTGCCTTGACCAGTAGGTGGTACCAGACGTGGTAGAACTGGTACGGCCAGCTGAGCTTTTTCTCACACAGGGTGATAATATTCACCAGGCTCTGCTGGCTTCTGCCGGAAGGGCTCGTAGTTCGGGTGATTGCCATTGGTCAGCTCCAATTGCCGTCGTTGGACTGAACTTGGGAATTGCTGCCTCCGGATCCTCGGGTTCATACTGCCTTCTCTTCGGTAGTTGTTCTTGACTGCTTCACGGAGTTCTTGCATGGCTTGGCGTATTCCGCATTATTGGCGATGTCTCTGCCGTCGCGTTTGCCACATAACAGCTCGGCAGCCAGTGGCTTCTCGCGATGCTCCAGTCTCCTGCTGGGCGATGGGATCAACTGCAGTCTCTGCTAAGTCTCTTCGCTCATGTTTGCTCAAGTACCTGCGTGCGTCCTTCATGCTGCTCGGGAGCGCAGAGCGAACCCACTGTGAGACTTGTTCACGGATACCTGTCCAAGCTCGTCGCCCATGCCACTCAACTCTGACTCGCGCAGCCTCCGTTGCTTCTGCCCATACAACAAAGTTTTCCATTGTGACGTCTGGGTCTTCATCATGTCGTAGCCTTGTGACGCGTAGTGCAGGTGGGCCTGCTGGTCAATGTAGTCCATCTCCGCTGTGTTCGTCTGCTCGTTCTGTTGAATCTGGCCCGCCATTGCCTCAATGATGCTGCATATCGCTCGGAGATGTTGTTCGCCATCTTTAGGATGCCTGCGTAATAGAAGCTCGCCATCTCGGCACCTCTGATATGATATGTTCCAATTCATGCTATGACGTCGCCGGTGATCTGCTTCGGTGTCGCCATCCTTTTTGCCCTTAACGCGGTGCTTGCACGGTGCCTCAACGTGCTCTGTGGGCTGCCCTCGCCGCGCTCTTGGCCGTATCGGAGCTTCTGTGATTGTAGCCAGCGTTCTTTCGGCCGCGATCGCCCACCTGCCGTAGAGCTGGCCCAGCGCGTCACTCATGGTCGGGTCCTACTGGTAAGCTATAGAATTATGAATCCACTGCGGGGCCTTCTTGATCTTGACCTCGCGCTCTCTGTTGCGTATATCGTCCCTTGCGCTGCCGTCGCATTGCATAGGTACTACGGCCTTGAAATGCGTGCCAAGCAGGCCGTCATCCATGGCGTCGGCTGTGTCTCCGTGTGCTTGGGGTTGTTGGTGCTGTTGCCGATCTCGCTGCTGACGTTTGAGCCCTTTCACGCGTCGTAGATCCATTGTTGGGATCGGCCTTTTGGCGGGCAGCACGGGCTTGCAAATGATAATTAGCGCTGGCCTGGCCCACAGTTCAATCGTGATGCCGATGCGTGTGTGTGTGTGTGTGTGTGTGTGTGTGCGTGTGTGTGTGTGTGTGTGTGTGTGTGTGTGTGTGTGTGTGTGCGTGCGCATGTGTGCGTGCGCGTCGCGCGTGTTGGGGGGGGGGGGGGGGGGGGGGCGGGGGGGCATGGTACCGCATGCTCAGCACGGGCTGTTCTTAGTAGGGGTCGAAAGTGTGGTGGTGCAGTGGCGCGATCAATCGAACGTCCTGACCCGCTGCTGCAGGTGTGTGAGACGCTCTGGGGCGCGACGACTGCGCCTCCCAGCACTTTCAACCACGGTGCGCCTGCCAGCTCCTGCGGCGCGTGGTTGAAACCCCCGCAGACCAACCGCGGCATGTTCCCAAGACCCCTGACGATCTGCAGGAGGCGTCGCATCTTCTTTATGTTCTCACCTGAGAAGCCGATGGACGCTGCGAGGTATAGTCTGGTAATCGCCACGTCCTGGCCCTTGAGCCCCCATATGACGATTGAGATGTCATGGGCCTCCTTGGCGCAAACGCTGTGTTCTGTGACGTCTGGCATGCGGATTCGCATGCCATGATGCCGTCGGCGCAATATGCACGTGCCTCCCAAGGTCCCTTTGCGTGATCGCGGCGACTGTCTCGCTGGTGCCCACGTGCCATGGGACCGCCATCCTTGGCGCATCAGCCTGGTCGCCTCGGTCTCAGCGGCAGGTCCACGTAGGTGGTGTTCGCAATCGCACGTGGCGATCATATCGTAGTTCTTGTGATCCTCTATGAACTGCTTGGCGGCCCCATTGTACTGGGCACAGTTGGCCGCGAAAAGGGTGACAATCTGCTTGCTGCCCCTGGAACTTTTTATTTTTTGGGGTCCATGCCGGCAGAATTACTACTACTTGGTACTGGGCGGCCCACGTTATCTTCTCTCTCGAACAGTGCTCGATCTCGACGCTGCGCGGCGCCCCCTTCATCGTCTGCACAAGTCGCAGCACTCAACTCGATGATGTTCACCTCGTCGTCAAACCAAACAGACCTGCCGCAACCTCTGGGTTCCCGATGCGTTGCCCCAGAGAGTAGGGTTGAGCCTGTACCTTGGGCAGGATCAGGCTCATCCCCCTCTGAGCCAGCCCTGAGATATTGTGGATGTCGTAGTACAGGGTCTGGCTGCAGTTACTCTCGCTCTTGATTTTCAGCTGCTTATGGTTTGGGTCGCGCTGGCTTTGACGCTGTCGGTGGTGCTGGCGCTGCCGCCGCGGCGCCTGGTAGGCGTGCCGCGGGTGCTGCGCGCGTTCTCGCTTCGACCCTCGCCAGCTGTGCCAGGTGCTGCTCGATCTGGTCAGCGTCGGCGAAGTCATATTGGGAAGCCAGGGCCACTTCAGGTTCTGCAGCTCGAGGTGCTTCAGGTCGTGTTTCGTTATGTTGTGCTTTACTTGCTTCTCCTCCTGGTACTTCTGTATTTTGTGTTCCTGCAGCGACCTTCCTTTTCTTGGCTGCCTGCGCCGTGTCGCGCAGGTTTGTGGCCCTCTCCAGGGACTTCTTGGCATTGATAATAGCTTCCTTCTTCTGCTGGGTATTCTATTCTCGCGCCTTCTGGAACTCGCCCTGGATGGTTTCGTTTTTTTTTTTCTTCTGGTCGGCGTCCAGCAGGGCGGTCTCGTCGCGCGATAGCGTGGGGAACTCCTCATCCTCGTCAGGTTTCTCGATGTTCTTGCTCCGCTCATCGCTGGCGCCGCCCACTGCCGCCTGCGCCTCCGCCAATGATTTCTTGGCATCTGAGAGCTCCACCGTGTTATCGCCAAGCTTCCTGAGCACGTCATCTCTGTACTCGGTGGCCCGCTGCAACTGTTTGGCGAGCTTGGCCTGGCATTTAAGTCTGCACTCGGTTGAGATCTGCAACTGCCTGCTGGAGTAGTTGTCCTGTGGATAGTACTATGGGTACTGCAGGAGCTGCGGGTACTGCCTCTGGGCACGCCAATGCAATCTCATCCAGCTTGGCTTGGTCAATATCGGTTTGTGCTTGGAGGTATCATGGCCGGTTTGTGCTTGGAGGTATCATGGCACTGTTGCTGGTCTCGCTCTGCTGGTCGCCCTCTGCATTGTTGACTGCTGGATCCTTCCACTTATGTCTGCATGTCTTGCAATTGGTCCATCCTGGCTTGCCCATCCTGTTGCAGTAAACCCAATTGCCACTGCCCATTGGACACACAGGACAAACAATATACTGCGTAGCCTTCTTGCCTTTGGTGTTCGGGGCTCGGGTCTTGCTGGCCGATCGGGAGGGTGTGCGTCGCCAGGGCGGCGGCGTCGTACCCCACGTGTCGTTGTCATTCTGCCAGCCTCGACCTCGCCCCATTCAAAATTGTGCAATTGGCAACACGAACTTCAGCAGCGGCACGTTCTGGCCGCCCCCCTCAAGCCGCGGGCCGGCGTGCAGCTGGCGCCCCAACGCCTGCCACCGCCGACGGTACGCGCTGTGCCGCCTCGGCCCCGCGCGCGGCCCCACGGGGCAGCTGCAGGCCGAAATGGCTTGAGAGGAGGAGGAGGAGGAGGAGGAGGAGGAGGAGGAGGAGGAGGAGGAGGAGGAGGAGGAGGAGGAGGAGCAACATGAGGAAGAGGAGGGAGAGGAGGAGGAGGAGGAGGAGGAGGAGGAGGACGGGGAAGAGAAGGAGGAAAGGAGGAGGAGGAGGAGGAGGCGCACGATCCCTCCCGCCGACACCGCGCCGTCCGCGCCGCCCGGAACCTCCGCGGGGTCGGGCCTCACGGAACCATTGTTAACGACAGTCGAAACGCCGCCCTCGACGGAAGTGGCGACGACGACCAGGTCGCCGAGGCTGTTGAGAAACGAGCGGACGAGCGGCAGCACGACGGAGCCGATGAAGGACTGCGGGCGAGCGGCCTCGAACAAATCAGCGAGCGGCCGAAGGTCGCTTTCGAGAAAGACGGCCTGCCTGAATACCAGATTCGCATCACGTGCCTGTTCCTCCCGTGCATCTCACCGTTTCCCAGCCTGGCGTTGATCGGTTTGGCAGTTTACGGAGAGCTGTTGATCTTCTCCTGGGTCACCACCAGAGTAACTGTCCACGGGCGCATGGGTTCTGCTGAACGAATTGCGCGACAGCTGCGCCATGCTCACACCTCTGAACCTGCAGTTCGGCACTTTGTAGAACTTGTGCGGCTTTCCACAATCCCCCAAGAGGGCCTCCACGTATATCATCCTCATGTGCAGTGTCAGGTTGAACGACCATTGCCCCAGCACTGGCCCGCGACCGAGCCCTCGCTTTCTTCGAAACCGTAGGCGTCATGTAGGAAAACGTCACGATTGCAACAGCATGTAGAGCGCCATGGTGGGGCGCATTTTGGCGTGCATGAGGGGGAGCGAGCTGGACAGCGTTAGGGAGAACGCCTGCAGGAGCAACGCCACTCCGAAACTCTTCCACCTGTCCCTGCACTGCATCAGGCTGGACAGCATCATTCTGGGCCCCACCCAGCTGTAGATCACCATCATCCATCTGTGTTCGCACTGCTTCAGGCTGGACTGCATCACCATGGGTCCCACCCAGCAGTCGTTCACCATGCACGTCGCCAGCGCCAGGTTGACCACGAAGGCTCTGCGCCAGCAGCGCGCCGCACGGCCCCACCAGGAGCGGCCGCGGAAGCCACGCGAGCAAGCGCAGGGAAGCCAGGAAGAGGAAACCGCACTCGGGAAGGTGAGCGCGATTAACTCCGACTCCACGCGCACGGGGCAAGACGCGGACGACGGGAAGAACGAACGCGCCGATGCACGTGGAGGCGCCCGCACGCCACCCCCAGCCGCCCACCGTCAGGATTCCTGGAGGTAGAGAGCCTCTCGCCAGACATGGGAATCTTCATGACGAAATGTACGTCCTCCTTCTCGAGTCAGGCCGCTCCAGGTAGAGGGGGCGCAACATCACCGTCGGGGAGACCAATCGGTGGACCATCCACAGCAGAAGGAACAGGAGACAGATTTCAGGAGACTCGAAGAACCAGACCAGCAGCACCAGGAAGCAGGAACATAGCATCTCGGTGGTGCGGACCCAGTCTGGAGACCATCGTGGTGCACCACAGCATCAGGGACCAGAGTATGCGCACAAGAGCCTGGAGTCTTGAACGGCGTTCGCAGGAAGGACATCCACACGCGCGGCTAGAAGGCGAACATCAGGGGCACCGCCAACGGCAACTGCAACAGAACGAGCTTCAGGAGGGATATCCGCAACGTCCCATGCTCCATCCAGCATTTGTGCACAATCAATGCAATTGTCCACGATGTTGTCCGTTCCCCAGCGCTTCCAACAGCCGTCAGCAGAATCGCACCATATCCCAGGCGCCGCCATGGACGAGACGATATGGTCCAACGCCTTCCATGTAGCAGAGCGCGAGGAAATAGATTTGATGGATCGCTCCATCTGCTCCAATCGCCTCACAATGTCTGCGCACTTGTCGCCGTCGTCGTCGACAGTGCATCAGCCCAGCGTGGGCGAGGACCAACATCATGGTCCCTTAATGCAACACGGTCGAGACATCCCGCAAGGTCCCATTCTCCAGCGCGGTCCTGATGTCCAGCATGGTCCCGTTCTCCAGCGCAGCCCCGAAGATCCACCACGGTCCCAATGTCCCGAATGTCTACGGCTTCCAGGAGGTAGTCCAGCAGCAGGTGCAGCTTGTCCTGGTAGAGCGTGGTGATGGTGCTTGGCGGCGTCCGCCGGCACCAGCGTCGTTCGAGCGGCCGCGTGGCCATCAGAAGTGGGCGCCCCACTGAGAAGGCCCATCAAGAACAGCATCGCCACTGTTTACATCGCGGAGTCAGCCGCGTAGGGAACCTCAGCCACACCACCAGGAGCGTCGCCTCCACCACGAGTGTCTTCAGGGGCGGGGGCGTAAAGAAGTCTGCCACCAGCGGCCGCGGCGGCAGGAGCATGGTCAAGCAGAAGGCCAGGCAGAAGAAGAAGATCGCCAACAACGGCGGCAGTAGCAGGAACGTGCAGAGGGGCGGCATCGCCTTGAAGCTCACAAGGAGCGGGGCCATGTAGAGGAAGTGGTTGATGCGAACGGACGACACAAGCGGCGGCAGCAGCGGGCAAGTGCAGACGAAAGCCATCACCATGGCGGGGGGCAGCAGAAACGCAGGTTGGGGCAGGTGTGCGCCACTCCAGACGGCGGCAGCAGGGATGTGCAGAAAAGCGTCTTCACAATGAAGGTCTTCAAGAACGGGAGCGTGCAGAATTTCGCCACCAGCGGCGGCAGCGACAGGAGCGTAACATTCATGCAGAAGGTCTGGTTGAAGCCGATGTGCGCCACCAGCAGCATGAACGGGGTCATGCAGAAGAACTGGTTGACGCAGGTGATCGCCACCGGTGGCGGCAGCAACAAGCACGTGCAGAGGAGAAGCATTGCCATGACGCGTTCAGGAGCGACGGCAGCGACAGGAGCGTGCAGGCGAGCTTCAGCACCTAGAGGCGCTTGTCGTTCGTGGTGTCCGTGGAGTTCTAGGATGCAGCGTGCTACCTTCGTCAGCTCGTCGTACATGCGCACGCCCAGGGGGCTGAGCTGCAGCGGCCTGATGGGCAGGGCCCTTCGTTCGTGACGAAGAAGAAGGACCAGCTGAAGGCGAAGTCGTCCTCCATCTCGACGGCGAGGAAGGGCGCGCTGGAGGTCGCGGCATCGCCGAACATGAAGTGCGGACGGAGACCGCGTGTGGGACATAGCGGCTCCCCCGGCGCCGCCCCCGCCGCGCGGCTGGCCCCGCTCTGAGCGGGCCCAGCTTCTCCCTCCCTCCCGCCGCCGCCGGGCGCCTCCTCCCTCGACTCCAGCCGCCGACGCAAAAAGTGTGGGGCATAGCGACGCTGCCCAAGAGGGGGGCGTCCAAGAGGTGGGGGCGCAAATCATGGCCGGCGGCATGTGCGCGGCCCAGGGGGGGGCGGGGGCGGGGACGTAATGAAGCAAGAAGACGCGCCATGAAATCTGATGAAATATCATGGCCCCCGCCATGATATCCACCCCCCTCTAGTCAGCACCCCCCTCCTGGCCGCCCCCGAGCATAGCGACGCTGCAGCTGATGAGCACGCCCAGTTGCAGCAGCCGAGGCCATCGCATCACTTCCACGGGCGCGGCGGGCGGGTCCGAGAGGGCGGCCGGCCGGGAGCCCCGGGCACAGGCGGCCGCGAGGAAGATGGCCATGGGACGTTCGTTTTGGCACAAGTGGGGAGGCATCCCATTGAGCCAAATTGGCCACGGAAGGAGGAGGAGGATGAGGATGAGGATGAGGATGAGGAAGGGAGGAGGAGGAGGAGGAGGAGGAGGAGGAGGAGGAGGAGGAGAAGGAGAAGGAGGAGAAGGAGAAGAACAATAGGACGCTGGGCAATGTCTCTTCAAAAAGAAGACCCACCACCACAGGATGGACAACACAACACAACATCGCATGTTCGGAGGGGGAACGGCAATGAGGAGGGAAGAAAGAGAATGACGAGGGCTGGGGCAGACAGAAAAGGAACACGAGAAAGAGCACGGGAGGATAATGAGAACGGGAAGACGGGAAATGAATGGGTTTGGGAGGGTGGAGGAGGAAGGGAAGTCCAGCCTCATCAGCCAGTAGACCGCGAAGAGGGCGCAGATGGTGCGCTGGTACTCTTCGTCTAGCGACCGACCGCTGCTAGAGGTGGCGCTGCTGACCATGTAGAGGCTGAGCTCTGGGAAGGCGGCAATGCAGTCCTCCAGGAACAGCCCACAATGATAGTCTTTATCTCGTATTCTTCTGGCCGCGGTCCGTGCCCTGTCCCAGTCAGTGACCTGAGGAAGAGGGAGACGGTCAGAAGGGGCGGAGGGGGGGAGGAGGGAAAGAGGGCCTTATCGCGCATGAGCTCCTGCACTAGATATGGGCTCTCCCACTCGGTAACTGGCGGTGGCGCGATCGGATTCGGCGGCAACACTATGCGCAGCAAGCCGGACATCTGCGAGAGCCCGCTTCTGCCATTCTGTGCTGGCTCTCGCTTCCCGTCCACCAGTGATCGCGCGAAGCACATCAACTTTTCGTCCACCTTGCCTATGTCCTGCGCAGGGACCCAATGGAAGGAGGTGACGACCACTCTCGTGGCGGCATCGGCAATGTTGTCAATGTTCTCGTGCCGTCGGAAGCTGAAGCTGGTGCCTTCTGGGAGCCCGATGCCGCTGAGCCCATCCAAACGCGCAGTCTGCAGCACGCGCGCAGTCACTTCGTGTATCCTATAGACAGATTTCAGCCCTGGGTACGACTGGGAGTACTCTATCTCCTCTGACTTCACGAATGAAGACTCGTCCAACGATATGAACTCATCTTGCATATGGAGATCTATACCGAGATTCCTGTTGAGCGCCTGCCTTGCTGCCACCCGCCAAGTCTGGTTGGTGGACATGCGCATTGAAATCGGACGGTCCTTGCCGGACTCACGCTTGCCATACTGCACCTTCGACTTCGCAACCAGATAATGGGTCACGCTGAACACCTCCGCCTGCACCCACACCTAATTAGAATACCAACATTGGCATACACATGAACTGTCGGAAATCCACGGAGGTTTCTGGGATCGGCGCGAGACCCCCCTCCTTGGCGCTCGGACGCTACCAAATGCGGCGCTGGAGGCGCCGCCAGAGTGGTGCAGCCCCGATTCAAGAAATCCGTGAACTCCTCCGAAAGTTCAGGCTCACCATAAAGCACGACTGCCCATGCTGGACATGAATGAGCAACTCTGTCGCTACAGTCTGAATGCTGAGCCACGACAACATCGCAGAGCGGGGGGGGGGCTGGGAAAGTGCATACCGCTCCTTGACAAAACACCTTGCCCCGATGTGTGGCCACCATGAGTGCCGCGGCGACCTCACAGACACATAAGTTTAGTTCGGGTTCGGTTATCTTGCAAGGATTCTGTCTTCTCCGAACACCTTGACTATGTCCAGGTGGCGGAGGAGCTCCCCGTTCTTTATCATCAGCGTCGACGTCTTCTCCTCGTACACCTCGGTAACGAGGTCGGCGAAGGCCGCTGGCTCGAAGTCGAGGATGCTGAACTGGTGCTCCTGCAGCAGGGCTGTCAAGGAGTCCGCGTGCGAGATCTCCTCCGTGTCTGCACTCCAGGCCCAGTGGAAGCGGGGGCCGCCGTCCCAGCCGGTGGTGAAGGCCCTCATGGTCGGCAACCCCATCACCGACACCTCGCGGTGCTGCGGATTGCCGATGCGCATGCGGGCCTTGTGGGTGAGGTAGAGGGTCCGGATGCCCGGGTAGGAGGGCGAAACAATCTTCTCCTCCGTGAACCAGTTGCCCTCGAGGACGATGTTGTCTTTCTGATCCGCCACCGTGCCCCCTGGCACACGGAGGCGTGGTAGACTGCCGAATGTTGTCTGGCGGAGTTTCTGTAATCTTCTACGGCCCCCCCCTCTCTCGGTCACACTTCGCTGCGTGCATCCCCCCTTCCTGAGGACCCCTGGGCGTCCTAACGCCTCCATGGTGTTCTGTAAGGGTTCCAGAATGCCCAAGATGGCTTCCAGGGCCGCCAAAATGACTTCAGATGGCCCCAAGACAGCTCAAGATGGGGATGGCCTCAGAGGCCTCCAAGACGGCCCCCAAAAGCTTCCAAGCAGATCCCCAGTATCACCATTCAGGCCCAAATCTGCGATATTATGATGTCCTTGCTTTTCGCATGCTCGTCTTCTCGGGCTTCCGTCGGCTGAAGGCGGCCCCAGCGGCCTCCAAGACGGCCCCCAGGCGGCCGACCCTGTGTCGGCGTGTGGAAGAGGCTTTTCGCTCTGCCCCCTTTGAGGCTTTCCTGTCTGCCCCCTCTTCGTTGTCGTCGTCGCTCCTTCCCCTTTCCCAGGCCTCCCCCTCAAGTGGCGAAGCAGAAGGAAATTGAGCAATGTCGTAATCACAAAATTGAGCCACGTCGTCATTGAGTCGAAGGGAAGCCCCTTCCCTTTCATCCCTTCCCCGCCAGGGGGGGTCCTGGGAAAGTCCCGGGGGGGGGGGGTCGGGGTCAGATAAGACGAGCCCCCTCGGGAATCCCGCGGCCCAACAAAGCCCCAGGGCCCAGGACGAGTCAAAAATGTCCTCAGAGACCCTCGCGAGACCACGTCCTTTCTCCGTCAACATCTGCGGGCACCACTACCACCCCCGAGTCTCCCCCCACCTCAAAACTACCCCCCCTTCATTCCCCCCCCACTGCCCCTGAACCTCTGCCTTCACCTCCTCCTTCCCATGCTCCTCACCCTCCTCCTCCTCCTCCTCCTCATGCGGCTCCTCCCCCTGCTCGTCCTACTTCTCCTTCTTCTACCTCATCGTGGTCAGTGTCCTCATCTTCAGGGCCAGCGGCACCGGCCATAATGCCTTCGCAATCTGCGATATTCGGATTCTCTTGCTTTTCGCATGCTCGTCTTCTCGGGCTTCCGTCGGCTGAAGGCGGCCCCAGCGGCCTCCAAGACGGCCCCCAGGCAGCCCAAGACGGCCTAAGCGGGCCCCGAGACAGTCCGGGACAGACCCAAGGGAGCCCAAGTTGGCCCGAGAGGGCATCTGCAGAGACCCAAGAGGGCCTTAGAAATCTCGCTCCTCCACGGCCCAAGGCGGCGCAAAGACAACCCGACGACTGCTCCAAGAGACCCCGAACACGGCCAAGGAGCCTCAAGACGGCCCGAGAGAGCCCGCAAGCGGGCCCCAATAAGACCCAGGAGGGCCCCAACGGATTCCCAAGGTTGACCGATAGGAGCCCAACACAGCCCCATAAGGGCTGAAGTGAACGCCACGAGGGCTCCTCAAGATTTGAAGAAAAGATGTATCACATGTGACGGCCGTCTTCTTTATCCTTCTCCCCCTCCTGCTCATCATTTTCCTCGTCATCATCATCACCACCATCACTTGCACCAGCACAATCATCACGAGCGTCCTCATTATTATTTTATTCATCCTCTTTCTCCTCTTTCTCCTCTTTCTCCTTATCACCATCACCATCACCATCGCCACCATCATCATCATCCGCATCCGCATCCGCATCAGCATCAACATCATCATCATCATCATCATCATCATCATCATCATCATCATCATCTTCATCATCATCATCATCATCATCATCATCATCATCATCATCATCATCATCATCATCAATCATCGTCCGTCTCGTCGTCGTCGTCCGTCGTCGTCGTCGTCCGTCGTCATCATCATCATCATCATCATCATCATCATCATCATCATCATCATCATCATCATCATCATCATCATCAATCATCATTACCACTATCTACACCATTGGCTATTTCTAATGGAAAAATCCACCCCCAAACAATCCTGGACACTCCCCCGGACAACCCTGACAACCCCTCAAATATCCTCACAACCCAGACAACCCGGACACCCCCCCGGACAACCCATTAAAGATCCGGGCAACCCACCCGGACAACCCCCCTTGGACAACCCCCTGGACAAACCTATACATCGTTTACATAGCTGACATCATCATCGTAATCGTCGTCGTCGTCATCGTCATCGCCATCCGATGCGGACCAAAACGGCCGAACATGGCCCCAAGGGACTCCCAAGGCCGCCGCACAAGAACCCAACACAGACCCAAAAAGGCTGAAATGAGATCCAAGAGTGCTCAGCCAGGGGTGCACGCGACAGGTGTCACATGTGAGGGTCTTCCTTTAATTCGTCGTCCTCCTCATGCTCCTTATCCTAAACTTTCTCGTCATCATCATCGTCCTCCTCCTTACCCTTACCACCGTCAACACCACCACCATCATAACCACAACTGCCATCACCATCGTCATCATCACAATGAACATCACCATGGGCATTCTCGCCGTCATCGTTACCACCGTGATCATCGACAACTCCCCCGGCATCATCACCATCATCGTCGCCATTCTGATGAAAACCATTACTATCATCATCATGATCGTCATCATCATCATCGCCATCATCACCATCATCATCATCATCATCATAGTCATCAACGTCATGTTCGTCGGATGTTAGGGGTGACATCGAAGTCGAACGGAAGGCCCCCGCCGGGAATTCGGCTTCGGTTTCGGGTTCGTGTCGTGCGTGCGAAGCGAAGCTGCGTGGGCGGGCGACAAGAATGACCCCGCTGTGGCTAGGGCGGGTCGATCGCCCTTGACCGCCCCTCCTCCCTCCGCAGTGGGCGGGCGTCGGCCGGGTTGTCCCGCCGTGGTGTCCCGTCGGTGTCCGCCTCTACCCCGTGGTGGGCGGGCGGTGGCTGGGTTGTCCGTCGGTAACGAGGCGGTGTCCAGGCGGAGTCCCGTCGGTGTTCCGTTGGTGTCCCGTCGGTGTCCCGTCGGTGTCATCGATAAAGGGATCGATAGGGGGATCACGTCGCGGCGCAACGTCGTCACCACGCGTCGTCGCCAAATCGAGGGCGCATCACCAGCATTGTCATCACCACAGCCATCGCAGTTGTCGTCAGTATGTTCTTTCCCTTCCACCTACGAAAGTCCTTCAGAAAG